TTTTGGTACCAGGGATAGAACTCGGGTCCTTGTGCTTGCGAGGCAGGCATCGGAACCACTGAGCTAAATCCCCAGCCGTAAATTTTAACTTTTTAAATCTATTTTATTTCATTTGGTGGTGGGGACTGAACCTAGGGCCTTTGCACTGAGTCCCAGCCCCACCCTATTTTTTTATTTATATTTTGAGACAGGGTCTTGCTAAGTCACTAAATTGTCCAGGTTGGGCTTGAACTTTAGATCCTCCTCCCTCAGCCTCCTAGAGTGCTTGGATCACAGGGGTGAGCCACCTTGATGGGCTTTTATCTTTTTTAAAGATATGGCTACTAGAAAGCGGAAAACGACATGTACAGTGGGTGCTTGGGACCTGTGGCTCATTTCTATCCAACACGCAGGGCAGGAAGGGTGTGCTTGGGGAAGGAACCCAATGCAGAATGCCACGCCTTCTCTTTTCCTTGCTGTTATCTCACCATCGGTAAAACAAAAAGCCCCAAACCCTTCATTGAGACTTAATGTACATAAAAGTTATCCATTTGAAGTGTACAATTCGAAAATTTTTAGTAAATTTACTGAGTTGCAGAACCATGACCATAGTCGTTTTAGGTTATTTCCCTCACCTCAGTAAGATCCCTCACGCTCCTCATTGGTCAAGGTCAGTTTCCTAACCCCAGGCAACCCGGAATGTGCCGTCAGGCGCTGTAGACCTCGGAATTTCAATATTTTATTTTATTTTTGGCAGTACTAGGAATTGAAACCAAGGTCTTCACATTGAGCTTCCAGTACATTCTCAGTTCTTTTATACTTTTAGACAAGGTCTCGCCTACTTGCCCAAGCTGGGCTCAAATTTGCGATCCTTCTGCCTCAGCCTCCCAGGGCGCTAAGATTACAGGCGTATGCCCCCGTGGGCGACTGGGCAGGGTTCAATTTCTGAGGATTGAATCCTGGTCTCAGTGGCTGGTGGCTCCCACTGCGTGACCAGTCGGCACTGAAGCCGCTGCAGTCCCCTACGAGGCTCGGAGTTTGGTGGAAAAAGGGAGGCAATCCTTGATCCTAGTGCCCCGTGCTCCCGCGTGCTTGCGGATGCGCGGGCGGCCCTCCAGGGGCCACGACCAGCTAGCGCGGCCCCACCGCGGGGCTGTGCGTCATGGCGAGGCCCACAAGGAGTAGGGGATGTTGGGCCACTGCATTCTAACGCTGCCCTCCTGAAACACCGGCAAGGCAGCAGACCTCAGCCTGGGGGTGTGGGTCGCGCCAGGGAACGACCCTTGTCGTTCACACCCTTCCTGGGTTTCGTCTTTACCCTAGCCCGCCCTCAACCGCCCGCCTCCCAAAATGGCGACCAACCGCCTCCTTTCCCGCCCGCGCCAGGTCACATGACCGAGGCAAAACCCGCCTCGCGGCTGGGCGGCTCAGTCCCTCGCTGAAGCTGCCGCGGCTAGGCGCCCGGTATGCATGCGCTGGGAGCCCGGACGGTGCGAGGCCGCGCACGCGCGCAGGCGCTACGGCTAGGGGGCGTGCGGGAGGGCAGCCAGGCTGCGCGTGCGCGCTGGGTGGCGCCCAGCAGCTAAGTGGGGGGCGCTGGGTGGCCCAAGAGGCGCAAGGTGCGAGGCCCGGCGCGCGAGCCCCCGGGGCGGGTAAAACCCGGTTGCTGCTGCCCTTGCCCCCTCGTCTTTATCCCTACCTTCCCTTTTCCTCCCTTTCCTCTTATTTTAACTCCTTCCTCCTTTTACAGACTCCTTCGCTCCTGGATTTCTTTTTTAGGGAGTCAGTCTCCCTTTCCAGGGGAGCCTTTCACCCTGCGTCACGCGCGCACCTTCTGCAGCCCAACAGCTCCAGGCCCGGTGCACCCCCACAGTCCCTTCCTCTTTGAAGACGACTCCTCTGGAGCCCCTAGCTCACTGCACCCCCTTTTCTTTCTCACCCTGCCCCTGCCCCCTGCCCCCTGCCCCCTGCCCCCTGCCCCCAACTGCTCTGGCGCAGCCCCCCAGCTTGCGCTCTGGCCCCACCTGACTTCCGCCTTGTGCAGCTCGGCCTTGCATTAGCTGCCCCCACAAGGCCCCTTCTGCTAAACACCCGCCTTCGTCCTCAGCTCCGCTTTGGGGACCCAGATTTGTCTTTTTTTTTAGGGTCCTTTAGCAAAAACCAAAAATCTGCCCTGTCTGACTTGATTACGACCCTCTTGGTACTTTTAGGAGCTTCCTCTAGCAAAAGTACTGTTTTTTTCACCCAGTTTTTTTCTTCTTTATTCAGATCACTTTCTAGCAAAAATTCTTTCTTGCCACTTAGTCCCTCTTTTTGAACTATTTTTCTGCTTAAAACTGAGTCCTTCCAGTTTCTCTCTCCTCTAATAATCATTTCTCCAATCCTCCCCTCCCCAACTTTCCAACAAACATCTCTTTTTTTCATCCCCAATTTCACCCCATTAGGTTTCTCCCAGGAACATCCCTTAGATTCCTTCCCAGAGGGAAAATAAGGAACGAAAGAGAAAATAATTTCCTCTTGTCCTCAGAACCTTTTCCCCCACTTGTATCTTCCCAGTTTTGCTTTCCTCCTTCCAAAAATCCCCCCTCTCTCCCAGTTTCATACCTGTGTCTTGTTTTGGACCGGCATTCTCACTGCCCCTCCCTTTCCACCACCTGCTTTCAGGGCAAAAGAAATTGGATGAGTGTCCCGAGATTCCCACCAGCCTTCCAAGAGCAAATAGCCATGGTCTGATTGTCACCTGAACCCTGTCACTCCGTCTGGGGCCTAAACTGGGCCCTCCTGTTCCCTGGAGATTCACTCCCTTGCTCTTCTGGTGAGTTTCCTGGCTTCGAACTCCTCCACACTGTCACACGTTTCCAATCTATCAGAGAGTCTCAGCATCAGTTGTGAGTCCATTTGAGCTGGGGCCTAGGGAAGTCAGATAAGCCAGTGTTATCATGCATGTTGATCTCTTTGGAGGAATGCAGGCATTTATTAGATGGATATGTTTCATTGGTGATGCTTATTGTAAAAAAGATTTTTTCTTCCTATTCTCAGCATAGGAGTTCAGATGGTTACAGGCACTAACAGGTCAAGAATCACAGTAGTAGTGTTTGAAGATTTTTGTGTCCCATCTAGGTGATGCCAGCCAAGTGGAAATGCCAGGCCAATATTCCCAGAATTTTTTTTTTTATAAGAGGCTAGAGAATTATCTTTATGTGAAACATTCTGTTTTTTAACTGGTGGCAGTGAATTTAATAGGTCTTACAAATTATGTATGCTGGCCAACAGCTTGGAAATTTTGGTTCGATTTCTTTCTGTTAGAGAAACACCTGCCTGAGCACATGTGTACACAAAGGACTTTCTTTTTTTTTTTTTTGGTACAGGGGCTCGAACTCAGGACCTTGCGCTTGCGAGGCAGGCGGCACAACCACTGAGCTAAATCCCCTGGCCAGGACTTTTACTTTTAAGGGCAGCACATCTCAAACTTTTGATCTGTTTGTTTTGAAACAGGGTCTCCCTGTGCAGTTCAGGCTGGCCTCGAACTCACTGTGTAACTCAGGCTGCCCTTGAACTCATGGTGATCCTCCTGCCTCAGCCTCCCAAGTGCTGGCATTGTAGTCATGCACCACCATGCCAGGCCATGCCTGGAAATTTTAAAAATCTGTATTTCAGATGAAATGGCAAGAAGCCAAGCATGTTGGCACATGTCTGTAATCCCAGTACTGGGGGAGGCCAAGGCAGAATGATTGCAAGTTTGAGTCCTGCCTGGGCAGCTTAGCAAGACCTTGTCTTAAAATAAAAAAGGCCTGGCATGTAGCTGAGTAGCAGAGGGCTCTGGGTTCAATCCCCAGGACTGAAAAGAAGGAATATGAGATTAATTTTCATTTTATTGTCATCTGGATGCTCGTATCTGTTTCTGCATTCAGCCTCTGAAGATGTCAAATGTTGGGCCAGGGATTTAGCTCAGTGGTTCTGGTGCCTGCCTCACAAATGCAAGGTCCCAAGTTCGATCCCTGGTACCAAAAAAAAAAAAAGATGTCAAATGTCTTGTAGCCTCTGGGAAACTTCACTGAGAATGAAGAAGGCAGGTAACATCTAGAAACATGGAAATGATTTCAACCTCATTGATTCCCTGAAAGACTTCTGAGGGCTCCTAGGGGTCTTCTGCATCCGCCTTACTATAAACATTGCTGTTCCAGACTTTTTTTTTGGTACGGGGGATTCAACTCAGGTCCTTGCGGTTGCTTGCAGGGCAGGCGGTAGAACCACTGAGCTAAATCCCTGGGCCTGTTCCAGATTTTAATGCTTGTTTGCATTTTCTGCTAGGATCAGCTTTTGGAGAGTAAGAAACTTTGGTGTCTCCTTTCCTTCTTTAGTTTAGTAAGGATTTCCCTTTGTAAGTATCTGTCTGATTCCTCTGTGTTTCTGGGTCCCCATGAAAGCCTTAAATCCACTCTTGGAATTTGATCAGAGAAAATGATTCAACTGTCTCTTTAAAATTGTGTATGTGGTTACATAGCCAGAGAAGGGAGCCTTCCTTGTTTGCCTCACTTAAAAATGCTTGCGGAAGGGCTGGGGATTTAGCTCAGTGGTTCCAGCACCTGCCTCGAAAGTGCAAGGTCCTGAGTTCAATCCCCGATACCAAAAAAAAAAAAAAAATGCTTGCACAAGCCAGGCATGGTGGTACAGGCCTATAATCCCAACATTTTTGGAGGCTGAGGCAGGAGGATCACAAATTTGAGCCCATCCTGAGCAACTTAGTGAGACTCTGTCCCCCAGTGAAAAATATAAAGACTTGGGATATAGCTTAGTGTGAAGGACCTGGGTTCAATCCCCAAATAGTATGTGCTGCGTGTAGGACAGGAGTCCCAAACTTAAGTATATATGTAATAATAGAGTGGTAGTAGAGTAGTTAAGTGTAAGGACTTTGAAATCAGACTACTCAGGGTTCAATCCTAACTGATTTTGGACAACTTCTTTGGGCCTTATTTACCTCATCCATGACATGAAGTTAATAATGCAGTGTAGGCTGGGGATTTAGCTCAGTGGTTTCACTTGCAAGCACAAGGACCTGAGTTTGATCCCCCAGTACCAAAAAAAAAGATACTACTATTACTGCTACTACTAATAATGCAGTGTATTATTGAGGAAATATTGTGGGAACAAAATAAAATGATATATAAGTGGCCACACTAGTGTTTGGCCTACAATGAACCCTTTGGAATTATTTGCTGCTATTATGATCATGATGATGATGATGATGATGATGATGAAGAAGAAAAGGAAGAGGAAGAAGAGGAGGAGGAGGAAGAGGAAGAGGAGGAAGAGGAAGAAGAGGAAGAAGAAGAAAAGGGCCAGGCAGGCAGGTAAGTGAGGAGGCCATGAGCCCTGTCCACAAACTTCCCTCACCTTATCCTCTTGTTAACTGTCAGGAAAAATCAAATCTAATAATTTTCAAGAGAAGCCAGAGATCCACATACAGTATGTAGGTGGAATCACTCCCATTTAAAAAAATATTGACTAATCCAATTTGTGAAAACACTTGTAGGCCAAACAAAATGAGTCAGTTCCCAGTAATAGTTGGAACGGGAATGCAAGGAAAGAAGTTGCATGACTAGGGTGGAAGTTGTAGCCTTTCCATCTCCCAGCTCGCATCGGTCTCTTCTGGTAATGTGGATCCAGAGAGGGGAAGCAAAGTGCAGTGCTTGCGAGGGAAAAAAATTTTTAAAAGGCTGGCAACAGGTTGGAGCTTTTCAAAGAAGAAAAGAGGTGACTGAGTGGAACCCTGCCACTCATGAGTGAAAAGGGTGCTGTGAGCCTTTTGTGATGGTGCTGTGCCGGGCAAGGTGCTCTTTGGAAATACAAACACACAGGGCATAGTCCCAGGCACCTTGAAGCTTATAGTCTTGGAAAAATAGAAGAGCCTGAAAGATAAGACTGTTTATCTCTTATGGACTATTCGGGCAGTCTACAACTGGGTGGTAGGTTTCTTTCCCAAAATGTGGAATTTTAGAGGAGAATCCCTTTACTCCTCTACCCCCACTAGTCCTGGACTGATGGGTTTTGTTTTGGTTTGGTTTTTTGAGATAGGGTCTGGCCTTGAACTTGTGATCCTCTTGCCTCAGCCTCTTGAGTGCTAGGATTGGAATTGTGCACTACCACACCTTGTCCAGTGATGGGCCTTTTTTGTAAGAAAAAACTTTGAAGAGGCTAAGGCAGGAGGCTAGAAAATTTGAGGCCAGCCTGGGCAACTTAGACAAGTGGGACCTTGTCTTGAAACAAAAAAAAATTTTTTTTTTTTTTGGTACCAGGGATCAAACTTGGGACCTTGTGCTTGCAAGGCAGGCGGCTGAACCACTGAGCTAGGGCTTGGAATATAGCTCTCTTGCCTAGCATGAGCAGACCCTGAGTTCAATCCCCAACGCTGAAAGCAAAATAAGAAAAGAATTGCTTTGGATCCCCAGCATTGATTAAAAAATTGCTTTTAAACTCTTTCTTTCTTTCTCTCTGTCTCTCTTTCCTTGCTTCCTTCCTTTTCTCTTTCTTTCTGTCTTTCTCTCTCTCCTTCTTTCTTTCTGTGGTGGTACTGGGGATTGAATTCAGAGCCTTCACACTAAGTTACAGAATATCCCAGCACTTTGTATTTTTTATCTTGAGCCAGGGTCTAGTGAAGTCATTATTGCCCAAGTTGGGCTAGAACTTGAATCCTTCTGCCTCAGTCTCATTTTTTTTAAACTAGGTGTTGAGGATGATAAAAGAAGATACTAGATCCTGAAGCTTACATCTCTCTCTTTTTTTTTACATCTCTTATGCAGCTCTAAACCACAATCAATTTCAAAATCAAATGAAATGCAAACAAAGCAGCCTGAGCAGTGCAGTTCAAATCACAAGCATTACTTTGGCGAGAGGGAGACTGTCCCCCAAAGGTCACTACTCCTCGAAACAGGTACTGTTCAGACTGCAGAGCTGGCCCTTCTGGCTTTTGTTACAACTCTATGACGTCCCCATTCTCCCGCCCCTTTTCTCAGTTTGTACTTTGAGCTACAAATCTCCATTTATACCACACTTCCCGCTGGCCTATAGTTGAACTCAAAGGCCCTGTTTACAGTCAAATCCACCTCTGTCCTGTCTTTAGCCTGTGGTGGTGACAGCAGTTCTTTCTGGCACAGATGCAATGATAAACACATCCAGGTAGTGCTTGATTAAAAGGTGACTCAGAGAGAGATCCAGATATGCTGTTTTTTCTTTTAGATGATTCTTAAATGAAAACAGAAAACTATTTGGATCCTTGGGAATATCTACAAAGTTGAAAAGGATGGCGAATACTGCCCTACAGGGAGATTCCCGCATAGGAAGTGCTAAAATGCTGGTTGAGTTGAATTAATTTGACAAGTTCTGTACCGCTTGGGGGAGGGGTGCCTTACTCTTTGGAAAGGATTGCAAATATCAGAGCCTAGTGTTGGACTTTCAGCTCTCTCTTCCTGAAGTTGTAACCAGACCAACCTGTTCCATGGACTGTTGGAAAGCAGGTGACTCAGCATTGGGGAATCCAGAGGCATTCCCCGTGTCTCCACCCCACTCTGCAGTTCAGGGAATCCCTATACAGAATCAGCACTGTGTAGGGTAAGAGTGCAAGCTCTAAAATAGCTGCACAAATTAAAATCTCTGGATTTAAGATCTGTCTCAGCCAACTATTAAGTATGTGACTTTGGACAAATTGCTGAGTCTCTCTTATCTGTAAACTAGGAGGTATAACTCTGGGTCATTGTAGGGAGTGAGTTAATCCACATACAGACCTTGGCATGAGGCCTAACTGAGAAAGTGCTTAATAAGCTTGATTTTTATGACTTTTTTTTTTTTTGGTACCGGCGATCCAACTTGGGTCCTTGTACTTGTGCAGCAGGCGGTGAAACCACTGAGCTAAATCCCCAGCCCATATAACTTTTTACTACTAGGTGAAAGAGGAGGAGAGGGTTAGTCCCCCTGTGGAGTAGCACTCTAAAAGCAGCTTTGGCATTGGTGGAGTCATCAGTTTTGCCTATAGATCCACACTCCCTTTTCTGCTTTTTGATGACCCAAAAAGCTCTGAGAATCCTGAGGTGTCTGAAATCTCTTTCAGTGGCCAGACCCAAGGCACCTGGTACCTTTTACAGTATACCAGTCCCTCAAGCTCTGTGTCGGGTAGGTTCCAGGGTCTGCACAGATACCTACTTAATAAAATGTAAATGCTATATGCAGTTGTTATTCTGTGTCGTTGAGGAAATAATGAAAAAAGTCTGTACATGTTTAATAAAGTCATACTTTTTTCTCTTCCTTTCCCTTCCTCTTTCCCTCCTTCTCTCCCTTCCTTTTGCCATACTGAGGATTGAACCCGGGGCTTTTGCACTGAATTACATCCCCAGCCCATTTTTTATTTTGAGACAAGGTCTTGCTGAGTTTCCCAGGCTGGGTTTAAACTTGTGATCCTCCTGTCTCAGTCTTCCAGAGTGCTAGGATTACAGATGTGCATCACCATGTTTTTCTCTCTGAATATTTTCAGTCTTTGGTTGAACCCTTCCTTGCATGCAGATCTGCAGATTCAAAGAGCCAACTATAGCCAGGCATAGTAGCACATGCCTATAATCCCAGCACTCAGGAAGCTGAGGCAGGAGGACTGCTGCAAGTTCAAGGCCAGCCTGGGCTACATAATGAGATCAAGGCCAGCCTGAACTACACAGTGAGATCTTGGGGGAGGGGAAGGGGAAACAAAGAGCCAACTATATTTATTTCACTTGCTCAGAGCAGGTGTTGCTGTTGAAATAATTTGGCCACAAGTGCTGCCCTGAACCACACTGGAATTATTAAAATATAGTATGCTTTGATTTCCTTTTTTTTTTTTTTAGGTAATGAGGTTTGAACCTCATTTTTAAAATTTTATTTTTTTAAATTTATTTTTAAAATTTATTTTGATTTTTTGAAACAAGGTCTCACTATGCATTTCAGGCTGGTCTTGAACTTATTTTGTAGTCCAGGATGGCGTTAAACTTGCAGCAATCCTCCTGCTTCAGCCTTCTGAGGGCTGGAATTACAGGGATGTAACACCATGCCCAGCTTTTAATTTTTAAATATCTATTTATTTTGCAGTCCTAAACATTGAACCCAAAGCCTTCACACTGAGCTGCATTCCCAGCCCTTTTTAATTTTTTTGTCTTGAGACAGGGTCTCCCTAAGTCTTTAAATTGCTCAGGCTGATCTTAAACTCGGGATCCTCCTGCTTCAGCCTCCCAGAGTACTGGGATTGCAAGCACTATCATGTGTGATTCACTCCCAGAATTCTTCATTCTTTATTTTTTTTTGGTACCAGGGATTGAACTTGAGACCTTGCACTTGTGAGGCAGGCGGCAAAACCACTGAGCTAAATCCCTGGCCCCAGAATTCTTCATTCTGAAACTCACTTGGGTCCCAAAGTTGTGATACAGGATTATGGACTTGTGTTCAACCATTAATCTGTGTTCTCTTGGCTGGTTGCGCGCACACAGACACACAAACAGATGTAAGGTGAAACAGGTTGTGAATGCAGCTGTTCTATTATAGATCAACATAAAAACTGCAAAGAAAGTGTAAGACCGCTGTCCTTACCAAACACTCCGAGGAGCTGACTATAGTGAAGCACACCCAGGGATCCCAGCAGTGCCTCCAGAATGTAAGACCAAAGGCCTTACCAAATGCTCCAAGGAGCTGGAGTGGAGCACACCCGGGGATCCCAGCGGTGCCTCCAGAATGTAAGACCAAAGGCCTTACCAAATGCTCCAAGGAGCTGACTGCCCCGAAGAACACCCGGAAAGGAACACACTGGACAAGTTGGAAAGTGAAACAGACCTTAGTCTGGCCAGACGGCACCCCCAAAGCAGAGTAGCTTAGAGAGGCGTAGTCCAGAGTCCGAGGCTCTTTTTATAGGGGCTTGCAGGGGAGTTAACAGGCGAAATTTACAGAAGAAGGAGCAAAGGTTTAGTGGTCTTACATTTGTATGTTAATTAGCCTGACATGTACTGTTAGTCAGCAGATGCTTTGTAGATTGGTCTATAGATAGTGGTGTCCAGAGCAAAGGGTTGGATAATTATGACTGATAGGGATCTTATCTAGTGTCCCTGAACTAAGAAGCATCTTTATATATTTACTCACATTCAATCACAGGTGGGGCTAGGGGAGTTTTATGATTACAGAGTTATGCAGTCTTACAAAAGTAGAAATTGATAGCCTAGAAGTCTAGACCCAAACTTGCATTATTCCAGGATCCACTAGATTTGTTAGCAGTGAGTTATCAAGCATTTATCACATGGAGGTGTGGATGTAATTATTCATAGTAGTCCCAAGTATAAACACCTGGAACACCCATCAACAGGTGAATGAATAAGCATCACATAATCTAGTCAGACATGGAACATTATTTAGCCATGGAAAGGAGTGAGGTACTGATACACACTATAGGGTAGATGAGTCACTTTGAGTATTGTAATCTGGTAATTCTGGGAGTCAGATTTTCCCCATCCCCAGGATTGGTGGTTCCTGCTTGTTGTAATTGTTTGTCCATTGGGTTTTAAAAGCTATTTTTGTTTTTGTCCTTTTTTTTGGTTTGTTGAGACAGAGTCTGCTATTCAGTTCAGGCTGGCCTTGAACTCACTGTGTAGCCCAGGCTGGCCTTGAACTTGTGGCAATCTTCCTGCCTCAGCCTCCTGAGTGCTGGGATTATAGGCGTGCACCACACTTGGCCTTAAAAACGATTTTTGAAGGGCTGAGGATTTAGCTCAGTGGCACTGCACCTGCCTCTCAAGCCCAAGGTCCTGAGTTTGACCCCTCCCCCCAAAAAACACCCCTATTTCTTTTTTTGGTACCGGGGATCGAACTAGGGTCCTTGCGCTTGTGCAGCAGGTGGTGAAACCACTGAGCTAAATCCCCGGCAAAACACCCCTATTTTTGATAAAGACCATATTGTTTGTCAGGTGTGATCAGTAAAGTCTATTCTGTTAGTTCAGAGATCCCCTTCAATATTTGGAGCAAAAAGCCAGAACAGAACTAGCACTGTGGTAGTCCTGCAGGTGGCTGTATATGTGAGCACAGGATCTTCTCCAGACCTCAGCTGACCAGGCTGCACCTCTGCCTTACCCCCCACTTCCTGCCTGCACAGAGCAGGGTCAGCAGGCCTCGGGCCACAGCTTGAGCCTTCCAGGTCCTCCCTGAGCATGCACCCACCCTGAGCACATGCCCTTTCACAGTCTTCCACAGAGGTGAAAAGATTTGTTTTTTTAATGTAAAGAAAGTCCATTTTAGATCTCAACCTTGGAGTTGAGTGGGTTTTGACTAATGTACAAGGGTGATTGAAAATATGATGTTTAAATTAAAATATTTATTATAGCGAAAGACCCATTAGCATCAGGTCCCTTAAGATTACTCCTGCCCACTTCATGTCATCTTGTTCTTGCCACTTTCCAAAGTACCGAAAGTCCGTACTGTGAGTGTCTTTATGAGATGTGATCAAAAATAGGGAGAAAGCTGCAGCTGAGTACCATCCAGTGGAAAGGCAGGCTTGTAAAAGTGTTGCTGTCACCCACCTTACCCACTGGATCTGGCACCGTGTGACTTATAGCTCTTCCCAAAGTCAAAGTAACCATTAAATGTCAACATTTTGAGTCCGTTCAGGCCAGCAAAGCAGCCACAACAGTGCAACTAAAGACATTCACAAAAGAGAATTTCAGAACTGTTGAGAAAGCGGCAAGAATTATGGGATAAGTGTGTTCAAAGCAAGGGGGAAAATTTTTTTTTTTTGGTATGGGGGATTGAACTCGGGACCTTGCGCTTTCAAGGCAAGCAGCAGAACCACTGAGCTAAATCCCTGGCCCCGAAAATCTTTTTTTTAAATAGCAAAACATTCATTGGTATATTTTAGGCATATATAATGCTAACACTTAT